TTATATTATCACCAAACTAAATCTACGTTTACCAATATCCGCAGTTAAAGCTTAACCATCAGACCATATATTCAATTCACATGAGAGCAAATGAATGAAAATAGGCCTATGTATTTGAAGGTTTCTGTAAACTTTCTCTTACGCAGAAGAAGGAAGTGGAACTAAGCTGTACTGGAAACCAAATAATAGTTCTTTTCTGCTCAACCTCCATGCACATGGGGAAGCGGCACCTCTGATGAGGAACATAGTTGTACTACTATCGGATAGCCGTAGAGATGATTATATGAAAAAGATAGAAAGGAAGATTTAACTTCGAGCCAGAAAAAAATAGTCGGTTCCAGTTACTGGACGATCGTAGCCAGATGAACAATGAGTGTGTCGTCATTAAGATAATTATTTCTTAGATAAAAAGTAAGAAAACAAATCTTATAACGATGGGATATCTCAGAGTAGTACAAGGCGGCACTACTGCTGTGTTCCATCAGCATAATACTATATTAGACTAACTGTGTAGTATACATTCCAAGAGAGTAACCGAAGCTTTCGGACGATCTTGATTTGTAAACTCGTGAGTGATACAGTAGCTCCAAACTACCGATTACTGCCCTGGTCATGATTTCATGATAACAAAAAAAACATGAATGAAGTATGTAATGCTGAGATATTTGCAAAACTCCGGACCGCAGGTGTATGCGGTGGGGAACGAACACGCGCTGTTGTCCTTACCGGGGAGTAGCGCACTCCACCACCACACCATCCGGGTCCTTCGTTTCGCCTGTCTCTCAGCTAGTTCTATTGATCTTTTGCCACATACCCTGCCATTAAGAAGAAAAGTACAGCAAATAGAAGAGTTAAGATTGTGATTATAACTAAGCTCAGCTTAACTGGGTTCAATGCCGATTTCGGCTTCCCAGATCAATCCCGTTGACGGGTGATTGCTGATGGCAAAAAGACCGTTAGAACTAGTCTGAGAGACAGGCAAAACGAAGGACCCGGATGGTGTGGTGGTGAATCCCCGGCAAGGACAACAGCGCGTGTTCGTTCCCCACCGCATACACCTGCAGTCCGGAGTTTTGCAAATATCTCAGCATTACATACGAGTTATATTTCGCAACATACCCTGCCTTTAAGAAGAAAAAGACAGTAAATAAAAGAGTTAAGAACATGAATGGTTTATTTTAACAATGAACATATTGAATAAGGCTAAAGCAATAGGAGAATTCAAGGATAAATGCTCACGTTGAAGTTGCATATGAAAGAATGGGATCAATGTAATGTTTCAACACATAGACTTCGCTTTCATTCAGAAAAAAAACCTTTGTATAAGTGATTTTTAATAGGTTGGACGTGAGTCCGTAACCTGTCTGAGCCCACGTCTCGCCATCATCAAACATAATGACGCACTTCTAAGACTTAGTTAAGCTATTTTTCGGAAATATAACGTAATGAAAGCTTGATCATAGCAGAGATTATGGAATAGATACTGGAACACTGAAATGGCTATGGTTGTCGTTCATTTCGATAGCCGTAACGATAAGCGTCTAATCTAAAGATAGCGGGTAGATAAGGAAAAAGCCAATCTATCAGTTCTACGGAACAACTTTCTCTTTCGACATTTTTACCAGCAACGAAATGTGAATGTCGTTTTGGCAGCTCAGAAGAGTATTGCAGTTCGAACATTAGCTCGATTACGATGGTGGTTGCCAGTGAAATTGGCTTAACCTTGTGCGCTCAAATTTGAACATAACTGTTTCGGAATACCATGGAGAATATTTCCTTGGAGATTTGTACCAATCACCTTCACAAAGAATCATAATGAAGCTATTCTTTTTAGATGACTCGTCATTACATCTACTGTGCGGATCCCAGCACTTCTTGCGTTCAACTCGTTTTCCTCGCACTTATCGTCTACAGTGGTCCTCAAAAATTTGGAGTGCTGTTCCAGCTGCAGCTTGAGAATTTCATCTTCTTCATGAATGTCCTAAAATGCTAATCGACCCAGTTCTTCTTGCAGTTTTACGGATAGCTCGGCTAGGGCGTTGCCACGTGGATTGCTGCTGAGCGTTGACTCGGGGATCGAACTGGGGTCTTTGCTTCCTGATCGACAACATCACTAACCACTGCGCTATCCGTGCCCCATGATATGATGAACATAAAAGAATTGCAATTTAACTTCGTTTAAATTTTTGTCCGGAACCCTGAGATAACCGTATCCGAACGTTCCTAGCCGAACCCAATCCATGTGAGTCGGAAGAGGGTCGGAACCTTTTAACAAAGTTCCATCCACGACGATTATTCGGATATAAATTCGTCGTTTTCTGTCTCAGCAATCACGAGGTTGACAAACAGCATACGTTTACTTCCATACAGTAACACACATACAACACAACCGTAGCTGACGTTTCGGCAGTATCGCCTTCTTCAGGGTTTGGAAGGGTACACTTATACGCAGTTTACTAGGTCAAACGCTTCAGTGACACACAGAAAGATGAGAATCTAAATGGTAGTCACATGGTCAACAGCTTCTCGAAAAACCCACCGCTTTTTTTACGTGCCTTCTATCGAGGAAGAACAGCCGCCGCTTAGAGTCGCATATGGTTGACGACTGCACCACCCCACATCAACGATCGATACAAAGGTACGGGGCGAGATCACGGGTGATCTCGAGACATTCCTCCCAGCTGTTCGTTGTAGGCTTTTTGGCATTTATCCAAAAAGCCTCAAGAAGCTTGCGCACTGGTGTTTTGGCATCCTGTACGAGGATAGTGACTTTTATATCAAAACCGTCTCCGCTATGTTTTTGTATCCTATGCGTCCCTAGTGGGGTACTCTGTCTTACTTTTCGTTTGCCATGTAGGTGTTCTTTTATATGAATACGTAAAGGTCTGTCCGTTTCGCCAATATATTCGTCTCCGCAAGCACTACAAGAGATCAGGTATATTGTACCTGAACTCATGCAGTCACTGTCCTTGCCATAAGGACAAATTACGCAATTCTGTGTTTAACATAGACGGTCGTATAGGCGGTTATGAACTAATTGACGACAAAGAGTATCGGGTGGTATTTCTACTATTGCAACCGATCCCTCCAGACCTGCCCCTTTTAAGCATCCTTTTATAGCTATACTTACTTCATCGCTAATAAAGGGCATCATAAACGGGATTTTCTTTTGGCCAAGTGTTTGGTGGAAGGCACGTAAAAAGCGGTGCGTTTTTCGAGAATCTGTTGACGTTGTGACTACCATTTAGATTTTCATCTTTCTGTATGTGTTATTGAAGCGTTTAGCCTAATAAATTGTATATCAGTATGCCCTTCCGGGCTCTGAAGAAGGCGATTCTGCCGAAACGTCAGCCACTGTTGTATTGTATTCTGTGTTATTGTATGGAAGTAAACGTATGCTGTTTAACAACCTCGTGGTTACTGAGAGAGAATACGACGAATTCATAATCCATTGCCGAGGTTAATAGAAAGTCGATCCTGGGAACTATTGGGATATAATTCCTAATCGCTGAGCCTCAGAATAGAAATTTGGAATGCCAATTCAGCATAGGTTTCTCTGCTACAAGGATGATCCAACTGATGTTGATTGCAGTAGAACATCCAAAACGTCTCGCACCACATCGGGGTAGCACACCACTACAGAACGGAATCATGGAGAATATGATCAGGAAAAACGGCTGTTGATGAGAAACTAATAGTAGTAAACGTTTTATTTATGAATTCGCAATTGACCAATTGATTTTTGTTTCACACGATCCAGCATCACATATTATCCTTCTTCTTGTAAGGCATTTCCTCGTATCCATCACTCGCGAAGGTTTTAGTACTTGTGCGCAGATTCAGTTCTTCTTGAAGATTTTTGGTCTTTTGAATAGCGTTGGATGCTGCTAGGGTCAGTCCTTTTCAAATCCTCCGACAGCCGTGCTAGGGCATTCCTAGGTCTTCATTAGGGGCACCCGTAAGCATTTATAATGAAGGGAAAGAAGTAATCCCAAACGGGTCTCGTAGCAGTGCTCCTAACCCAAAGGGGCGGCAAGCTTGGTTGACTTGCCGAAGTCGAGAGGTCGCCTTGCGCGTATTGAAAGCCATTGCTACCACTGCTCTACACACGGTCTATTTATCAACAGTCTATTTAATGTCCCGTTCAGTCTACGTCAGATATCATCAATCTCCTAACACAGTTTTGCACTATGATCCTTTTGCCAGATTCAAGGCATCAAGGCAGCAAAAGATCGATAAAACTAGCTGAGAGACAGGCAAAGCGAAGGACCCGGATAGTGTGGTGGTGAAATGCGCTGCTCATTGGTAAGGACAACAGCGCGTGTTCGTTTCCCACCGCATACGCCTGTGATCCCGAGTTTTGCAAATATCTCAGCATCATTCAAGGCATATAATTTGACTATAACGCCTGCCCAAGAAAAAAAAAGCCATTACAACCATTTTCGATGCAAATTAAGCCCTTGAAGACACTTAGGAGCCTCATCTTACTCCATCTTTCTAGGTGAATAGCGTCAGCTTTTGTACAGGATACACTTTTAAGTGTAGGTTACAATGTTATCAAGAGCTGGGTGTTTCTGATTGTGTAAAAGAGCGGAACAGATTTCGCGGCGATCATCTATCTGCCATCCGTTTAATACCATATTTTACTGCTAAGCTAAAAGGAGGCTATCATCTCGAGATTTCAAAGAAAAACGCACTCGGTTAGTACTAGAAATTTCAGTGAGCACGGAAAATCATAGTTTAATAAAAGTACAACCGAGCGCAAAGACGGGTAGGACCCCCTTGCCAGATGACCCAAGTGGCCACCTAACTATCGAAGTGAGAGACGCTGAAAAAGCGCAAGCGCATCTCATTTCATTTCAGTGTTTGAAGGAACCACGAAGATTGCAGGTCACGAAATCAGTGATATCCATTCAAACCTTTTGTCCCGTTGCTTATTTTGGTGCCAACCCAAAACTACCAAATTTATTAACTTCGGTTATCTTGTTCTAACTAATTTTCTAGGACAACAAATCTGATACGGCTAGAAGAAGAAGCGATGAAACAGCAAGGCTTTCACGCTTTTCTCCATTAGCACTGCATGAGCCGAAAGCCGCATCATAACCACCATAAACGTCACGAGAGGTCATCAAATATCTGTCACAGTGTTTCTCTCTTGAAGATGTCATGCATCCAAATGGCACACCGAAAAATCCACATTCCCCTGCTTGCAGTCCAATTAGTGCTCGATTAAAAGTGTGCTGCCATTTGAACCTAAGACAGGTTTTTGGGCAGAACTCCCAGAGCGCACGAACGAGCATCAAACCAAATTTCGTTATTTATTCCTTTCACTGAAAAACTCGATGTCACATGCAAGGTAGAAATGTCGGAATGAACGCCAGAGTGCGCAGGTACCCACTGGAGAGCTACTCCTGAGGTGGATAGAAATGTTTGTAGCATACATTACCCAATACGAAGTTTTAGATAAGTGCAATTTATAGTTCACAAAAGACTGCTTAAACGGCATCACCACATTCAAAACAAACCACCACACAAGTGACGAACAGCAACGAAAGAAGGCGCAAGTGAAAATTGTTGTAAGGTAGGTACTCGTGAAACTATCCATTGATGTATCCAAGTCTGACCGTATCCGAGTAAAGCAACGAGAGCGTCTTATTGTCAACAAGTGATCGTCTGGCAACCGGTGAGATAGCTGATTAAGTGATATATTGACCCAACTTATGGCTCCTTAAAGCAGCTATGGGGTGAGGGTAGCGCAGTAGCTAAAGATGCTCTGTGGTATACATATCCTCCATTGGCTCGATCCTAGAACCGAGAAAACCAAGCGCTTTATTACTCTGGAACCATGAATTGTGCCAGAGCTGTTTAGGACGATAAAAAATTGCACCCGTAGGCGCATACAAGTTATTGAATAGGGTAGATATGCATTCAGTCACGGTTCTATGATGAATTCGAATGCATGACGTGGCTCTAAGGAATAGACCATCTCTAAACGATTTCTCTTCTATCCTTTGAAAATTATTCGTGATCCCGGCAACACCAAACCTTGTAAGTAAAATAATACACACTATCACGATATGAAAGTTAACGAATAAAGTGGTTGCAACAAAACAAGGATGAACACTGCGATCTACATGGAGACAGGAGCTTTTGAAGTGGGAGTGTGGTAAGTTCCATGGACTGCCGGCGCCTGTTACTCGACGAATCCGGTCTCGTTTATTAAACGTATGCCAATAAAAATTATGGGTCGACTTAAATGCGACAAAAAATAATGGCATTGGTCATTTGTGTATTCCAGAAAACAATAAGGTGCCCAAGGCGCCCATAATCGATGTCCTTCCATATGTCAGTTTGCCTCTCTGTTTTGTAGAAAGTTGAATAATTTAAGCTGTAAATAAGTGCTCACTATAGTTAGTGTAACTCAATAAAATTTAATAATAAATGACTTATTTTGGTATGTTTTTTAAATTATCTTCATATGTAGTGCATATTCAAGCACTTCTTTCATTCGAATAGTCTAGAATCCGTCAGTTGCGACGGTGCTTGGATTTTCATGTGAGCTTGGTAGCCACTTAATAACCACGTTTTCTCTATGAGTTTTATTCAGGGTGGTAAAGTAGACGGTCTCTGAAATCTTGGAATAGCTTTGCAAGGGTGCTCATAATCCTTCAGCACGGACAGTCTCCCGTTGTTAATTGGAACGAGCCTTCACCCGCCGAATCTGCGTGGATCAGTTTGCCAACCTTGAAGGGATGGGTGGCAAGAATAGCCTGAACAGTTAGAAATAGTTTTGAAAGAGAAAGACTTTTTATTTACAAATTTCATTAATTCCTCATGCTATTGGAGAAAAGTGACGCTAAGTTTCCGAAACTCGTTAACGTTTTGCACTTTTGCACACTCGACACTTCGACTTCCGCCCAAGATAAAAAGGCATGATGTATTCCACTCTTCTAGCAATTCCGATATTATGGGCGCACGAGCTATGGAAATGTGAAGTTTATTGCTTCGGAAAGAGAACGCAATAATTTCGCAATAAAAGTCATCGGTTTACATAGAGAGTAGAAGCTTGCTTGCAAAAATCGCCAAAATGAATACGTACGAAACTGAGCTTTTCAGTAGTTCCCCGTTAAATATCGTCCAACACCTCAAATGATTGTTGTTTCCATCGACAAGCTTGCATCGCACGTGTAGTGCAGTTTTTAGAGGTGCCCTGCTATACGTAACAAGTTCAATTTCGCCCTACGAACAAGCAATCCCTTACCCCTCTGTGGTCGGTGCATTGGTGCCAGGCTTTCCTGATAGCATTAGAAAGGAATAAAGAAAATCTAATAATGAAAGATGTATAAGGTAAGTGTTCTTATGTTTTCAGGAGAGTCTGATACCATTCACCGACGATGGAGGAATGTAGGGCTTAGCTTACTCAAGTCGCATGACCCAGCCAACAGTCACTTCTGCACATCTCAGCATCATAGTGGTTGCATTTCACATCAAATACTGTCTAATAGACCGTAAATGAAAAGCAAGATTGTGACTTAGACTCCTGCCTCGTCTTAACTTGATTGAATGCCAATTTGTGCTCCCAGTTCATTCTGTTCACAGGTGGTTCCTGATGCACCGTTCGGTAGAAAACAGACTTAGACAAAGGAAAACCAACGCTCCCAGTAGTGAACACGTATGCCACCAGAAAGGGTAATCGTGGGTTCGAATCTGGCCTGAGGTCCATGTTGTGCAAATATCTCAGCATCATCGCCTGTCACCTGCATCATCTTTGGTCCTATTGGTGGTCGAGTGACTCGAGCGGGTGCCAGTAAATCTTCTATTTTTCACTGTTGCGTGCAACAGTGGTCCAGTGAGTCCTGCTCGCTCTAAGGACTCGTTGAGCATCATATCTCTCCTCTAGGCTTTTCGTGAAGAACTCTGACCATCGGGTCGGTGGTCTTCCTGCAGTGCGTTTAACATCCTGAGGAATCCAGTCACTAACGGCTCTTGTCCAACGGTTGTCGCTCCTAAGAATTGCGTGTCTGGTCCACCTCATTTGCGACTGTCTGGCATATAGAGTGGCATCTTTCATTTTTGATCGTTGACGCAGGTCAGAGCTTCGGACCCTTTCTCTTACTTGGGTGACACGGGATACTCCTAGCATCGTCCTTTTGACTGCGCGAACAATAACGCTGAGTGGTTTTTCATCTGCTTACGCAGCGATCAGGTTTCTGACGTATACGTTAACGCATGAACTACCGTTGGGTCGAAAATGTGGGCATGGAATCAAGTGATCTTTGCTCTCTTTGCTACATCCTCGATCGTTTTGAAAGCTCCCCAAGCCGTTCGTTCTTTTCTGCTCAATTCTAGAGCTAAGTTGTTCATCATATTGATTTCCCTACCTAGATAGACATAACTGGAGCATTCGGAGATATTCGTTCCGTTGAGCGTGAATGGGGCATACAAAACCAATCTGTTCTTCATGAACATCGTTTTTATGAGATTTAGTCGAAGAACAATCTTTCCACAGGCTTCGTAAAAGTCCGCAATCACACGTTCTGCTTGGCTAATGTTTGGTGTTATAAGGACGATGTCATCAGTAGAGCGAAGTTGGTGTAATTGCCGACCATTGATTTTCACTCCCTTGTTGTCCCATTCCAATGTTCGCATAACGTTTTCGAGGTTGGAGGTAAATAATTTTGGCAAGATAGTATCGCCTTGCCTAACCCCTCTTCTGATGTCGATGTTAATATCGTTGTAGAATGGTGATATCTTAGTTGCGAAATTTTTGTACAGCTCACGAAGAATCTTTATGTACTGAGTAGGGACTCCTTGATTATCAAGGGCTTCCATGACTGCTTCTATCTCAATTAAGTCAAAGGCCTTTAAATCGATGAAAGTGAGACCGAGCGGTCTTTTGTACTCCGGCGATACTTCAATGAGTCTTGTTATCGTGTGGATGTGGTTCATCGCACTAAATCCTTTTCGAAACTCTGCTTGCTCACATGGCTGTCCGTCATCCAGTGCTCTGTCGATCTTGTTTAGAATGATTCGAGTGAAGAGTTTGTAGACGACAGGCACCAAGCAGATTGGGCGATAGTTGCCGATATAGTGGAGGTCACCCTTCTTGAACATTGGCACGGTCTTGCTTGTCTTCCATTCAGTAGGGACGTTGCATTCAGAAAAGTAACATGTGAAGAGCCGAGCCAATGTGTTTATGAGGACTGGCGAAAGGTTCTTCAGGTGTTCAGATCTCATCCCGTGGGGACGTGGAGCTGTTCAATTTTTCACCGACGAAATGGCATGTCGGATTTCGGAAGGGAGAACCGGTGGTACAACATATCCATCCTCCTTTATTTCATATGACGGAAGGTGGACGTGGCTATCGAGGGGATCTGAGTAGTATTCGTGAATGATTTTCTTCATTGCCTTTCTGGACACTGTAACTGTTCCGTCTAGGCGTCGGAGTGCAATCATCTTGGTCTTGTAATTGGCGAAGCTTCGGTGGGCTTTGCGAATGCTTTTCCCGGCTTTTGCAGACTCAGCCATTGCTCCTGCTCTTCTCTCTTTAAGATCTTCTTTTATCCCCTGACTGCACTGTTTTGCAAGTTCGGACGTTAGTTCGCAGTTGCCTGCAGCTCGTGCGATTCCACGCTGGCGTATAAGCTAGAGGGTTTCTGGAGACAGACGTCTCTTGGTGACTTTCGGGCTCTCAGCTTTCATAGCGCTAACGTGATGTTGAATGAGCCGATCGTATTCCTCGACAATATTATCGACAACGGTATCTTCCAAACACCTAACTAGTGAGTTGAATAAGTCCCAGTTTGCGGTGGTTCTGGGACTTCGCTTTTGGAATTTAGCGGCTTTTTCTCCTTTCTGTGAGAAATGGAGTCTTGCACGAAGGAGGCGCTAGTATGATACCTCGCAGAATTTTGAGAAAACAGCGACATCGGTTAGGCAAGACCTTCGTTTTACTATGATGTGGTCTATTTCGTTATAGTACTCTCCACTGGGCGATTTTCACATCCAGCGTTGAGGGTGGGGCTTTTGGAATTGCGAGTTACCACGGATGGTCTTGGTCCTCATGATAAACTCAGAGAGGCGCTCAACCTGTTCGCTCTATTCTAGTCCGTGGGTTCTAATGTGACATTCTTCAGACGTTCTTCTTGGTCAAATCTCAGCGTTAAAATCTCCAAAGATAACTTTGAAAAATGCATGGTCACCCTCTGCAGAACTTCTCCAAGTCCATATAGAACGCTTCGACTTCTTCTTCGTCATAGTTTGATGTCGGCGGGTAAACAACGAAGATTGTCAAAATTGG